TTTTTTTTAAAAAGGAACCATAGAAAACAAATAGCAAGATGGTAGATTTAAACCCAACCATATTAATAGTTACATTAAATATAAGTGATTTAGATGTTTTTTGAATTAGAAAAATTGTCAGACTATTTTTTATAGGCTTAATCATATGCTGTCTAAAGAAAATATAAAGACTTAGCCCAGCTGGTGTGGCTCAGTGGTAGAGCATCTGCCCATGTACCCAGAGGTCACGGGTTTGATTCCTGGTCAGGGCACGTGCCCAGGTTGTGGGCCCGATCCCCAGTGGAGGGCATGCAGGAGGCGGCCAATTGATGTTCTCGCTCATCGATGTTTCTATCTTTCCCTCTCCTTTCCTCTCTCTCTCAAAAAAATCAATACAGAAAAAAAATTTTTTTAATATATAAAGACTTAGGTAAAAGAAAAAGATTTAAAAATATGTACATACAAATACTAATCATGAGAAAAATATAAAGAACTGTACTGATTTTAAAGAAGACTTGAGGACAAGGACTATTACCAAAGATAAAGTAAACACCACAGTCTTAAATATGTATGCCCACAATTACAGAATATTACCTTAAATCAAGCAAAAAGTGACAGAATCTAAAGGAGAAATATACAAATTTACAAGACTAATCCACAGTTATAGTTAGCAATTACAACACTTCTCTATCAGCACTTAAAATAAGTAGACAGAAAATCAGTGAAATATAGCAAGTTACCAAGACAGATCGTATTCTGGACTCAAAAAGAAATCTTAATAAATTTGAAAGTATTAAATTGTACAGAATATTTCTTTGAACACAGGAGAAACAGCAACAAAAAATAGTAAAAAAAAAATTAAAAAGTTAAAGAAAAAAAAGAACAATACATGTTTGAAAAATCCCCAAATATTTGGAAATGAAGTAATATACATGAAATAACCCATGATTCATAGAAAATGAGAAAATAATTTGAACTGAATTAAAATGAAAATAAAATGTATCAAAATGTATAAGCTATAACAGTGATTGGAGTAAAATGTATAGTTTTAAGTGTTTTTATTTTTAAAAGAAAGTTCTAAAATCAAAGATTTAAGCTTCTACATTAAAAAGAAAATAAAGCAAATTAAACTTAATATTAGTATTAGGAAAGAAATGAGAAATAGCAAAAAATAGTAAAATATGAAACAAAAACTAGAGATCAGTGGAAGTAAATTCTGGTTCTTTTAAAAGATCAATACAATTGATAAACCTCCAATTAGACTGAAGAGAGAGAGAAGTCGTAAGTTACCAATATCTCGTATGACAGAAAAGGTATTATTGCAAATTATAAAGACATTAATTGGATAATAAAATAATATTATGAATTACTTTATGATAATTAATATGACAGTTTAGATAAAATGGACAAACTCTTTGAATGATACAAACTACCAAAACTGAAACAAACAAAAAATAATCCTGAGCCACAAAATAAAAATTGATAAATTTTATTTAATCAAAATTAGTAACTTGAACTTTTTAAAAGATGCTGTTAAGGAACAATTAAGTGATAGACTAAAAAAAATTCTCAATACTTAGATATAAAAACAGATTTGTGTCCAGAATAGATAAAGAATTACAATAACACTATAATAAGAAGGCAACTCAATTTAAAAATGAGCAAAAGATTTATAGAAACATTTCACAAAGATGATATATGAATGGCCAACACATACATAAACCATGTTATTATTTGACTGGGAAATGCAAATTAAAGCCCTAATGAGATATTGTATACTCATTACAGTGGCTCGAATGAAAGATTGGTAATACGACGTGTCGGAAAGGTGGTAACCAACTGATATTCTCCTATATTGCTGGAGGGAGTGTAACAATTTTGGGAAATAATTTGGCAGTTTCTTATAAAGTTAAACATACCATACACTTCAGCAATTCCACTTTTAGTGAGATGAAAGTATGCCCAAATATTTGTGCACAAATGTTCATGGCAGTTTCATTCATAATAGCCCAAAACTAGAAACAGTGAGATTTTGAGCTATAGAAGGAACTGTGGTATAGCCATACAAGACAAATCTACTGAGTGATAAAATAAATAAATAAATAAATTACTGATACACACAACAAAATGAATCTCCAAAACATATTGTTGAGCAAAAGCAGTCAGACACAAATTAACATGTACATTTTGAGTCTATTGATATGAAATTCCAGGAAACGGAAACTAAGCTTTAATGACATAAAGGACCTCGGTAGTCGCCTGGGGTCTGAAATGAGCAGGCCGAAAGCCAAGGGATGCAGGACATCGTTGGGGTCATGGAAATGTTTTATGTATTGATCGTGTTTACAGGACTGTATACATTTGTCAAAAGCAACTAAACTATACATTTAAAACAGTTATTTTATTATGTGTAAATTACATATCAATAAAAATTTTAAGTTACTATTTTTTTAAGTTTGAAAGCAAGTGTATTTGTTCTGCCGCACGTTTCATCTAATTCCCAATGACCATCTAAATTCAAGTTGCTTAGCATATCAGATTTGGGTGTAGTATGCTGAAGGAGTTTTAAGAAAAATGTGGGTTTTTTTACACTATCTAAACCTGAAGCAAATCATTTTGATGAAATAAGAACTCCCTATTAAAGAAAGCTAAATAAAATAGTGAGTTAGGAAAGAAATGCCTGTGAATATTACTGCAACGTGCTCTTGACTAGTATTTTATGCCGATTCATGGGCACTAACTAAATGATGTGTATAGAATATAGTCATTTTGTGTTCTCTCTTGCTGACAGTCTTTAGCTCTATTTGCTTCTTAAAAAAAAAAAGATCATGTCTCTATTATAATTTAAGAAGCCATCAGCATAGAATTTAAGAGAAATGTAGGTCTTTCACGTATTCAACTATGTATTTTTAACCTAGATTTTACCATCTTGTCAATGAGTAGAAATACCTGCTTATTACCCAAACTAATGTTTTGGTTCCTTCTTATGACAATATAAATATAAAACCACATTACTTATTAAATATGAAATAAGAATGTTTTCCAAGTAATGATGCGGTTTAGGTAAAATAACTAGAGTTGATTATGTGCCCTCTGATTAAGAGAATTTAATCTGTACTATTTCCTGAGCATATGATAGGTGCTTTGGAGACTTAACAGCATGTATAAATATTTCCAACACTACAATTAGGAAAAGTAAAATATGTTTTTCACGTGAATCTCCTTGGATCACAAGGATCAGTTTCAGGCAAGTATTGCTAACTCCCTTCTTAATCAACAATTCATTTACTGAAGTTAGCCTCACGTCCATTTGCTGTGGAGATATGGCCTAAACAGTGTGTCTGCCTTACTGAGACGGACTGCCTCCCACACATCATGCCTCAGCCTCACTACAGATGGCCCCAACTTTCATCCTTTTAAAGAAATAAAAGCAAAGGCCCACCCCTTTCTCTGGGACATTCTCTTAGTAGGGACGGCTGCAATGAACAAGGACCATATTATCCAAGAGATAAAAATAAGATGGAAGAGAAAGCAAATGACCAAGAAAAGTCACTTTAAAACACCTTGAGCCCTGGACAGTTTGGCTCAACAGTTGAGCGTTGGCCTGAGGACCAGAGAGTCCCGGGTTCGGTTTCTGCTAGGGGCACATACCACAAAAAAACAAACAGACAAACAAAAAAACACCTTGAACTTGGCCAAAATCTACTTTGAAATAATTACCTGGTTTATACAGGAAATATTTTATAAAATATTTGGGAAAATATTGGGAAAAAAATGCGTTGGTTGAATATAATTGAGTCAAATACTTTAAATTTTATTTTTTACCGACCTGCTTAGTATACTGCAGTTTCAGTGCCTTAAACATCTGTTAAGTTCTCTCTAATGTTCTGACACATCCAACATTTAAGGTAGAAACCATGTATCATGATGTTATTTTCTTTTTTAAAATTTATTTATTTTTTTATTGATTTTAGAGAGAGAGGGAGGAAGAGGGAGAGAGAGATAGAAACATTGATGAGAGAGAACATCGATTGGCCGCCTCCTGAATGCCCCCAACTGGGGATCAAGCCCACAACCTGGGCATGTGTTCTGGCCAGGAATGGAACCGGCAGCCTCTTGGTGCAGGGGTCATCGCTCAACCACTGACACACTGGCCAGACCATGATGTTATTTTCTCTAGATTGTAGCATTTTTTAGGATTATCAGAAACTGAATGCAAACATAATAAACAAGAGAAGATGGCTTAAAAACCTTGTTAAACTAGAACCATTTAGCCCACAAAGCACTGAAAAGGGTGTTCCACCTAAGTGTAAATATTAAATATATAGAAAGAGTTGTTATAACAGTTTTTTTCTTCCCATAGGTGAAATAACAAAGATGTAGTCTATTTTTCTCTATAAAAAATTAAACAATATTCTCATATTCTAAGCCACAGATATATTTCTCATGCAAAAATACTGTTAAATGAATTTTAATAGATTAAAAATTATATAGAAGTACTCTAAGGAAAGTATAAATTCTTTAAAACAATTTTTTATTCCTTAGCACATTCAAAGTATTCACAATAATCTTAAGATTCTGGTAGATTTTTAAAAATATTTTAAGGTTAGTTTTGAGGCTGAGAGGCAGAGATATTACAATTTAAAAATTAACATTTTAACTCCAGTTCCAGAAAACATATATATGGCAACCGTGTGATTATACCTTCTTATTCATTACAATCAAAATATTTATTCTAAATGCATTTTATCTCTAATCAACATTCTAGCTTACAGGTTGATATTGTAAACAAGCTGAGCTTTTACTTTTAATTTAGAATCCATCAGGAATTTAGATATTTTTTCTTTCCAGATTTATCAACATTAAAAAATTAAAAAAAAACTTTTTTTCCTCCAGGGGCCAATGGTAAATCCTCATAACTGGATTCAGATAGTGAAAAATCAACATACTTGAGATTCTGACAAGATATAATATACCCACGTGCAATTTTCCCCCGTAACTTTGTTTTTTATCCAATCCAGCACTAATGTATGCAAGCATTTTTGGGAATGTATCTGCAATTATCCAAAGACTGTACTCGGGGACTGCCAGGTACCACATGCAGATGCTGCGAGTTAAAGAGTTCATTCGCTTTCACCAAATTCCCAATCCTCTGAGGCAACGGCTCGAAGAGTATTTCCAACATGCGTGGACTTACACCAATGGCATTGACATGAATATGGTATGTATTTCTCTTTCCAAAACAGAAGTATCCTAGGCATTTTAGCTACAGCCAAAATGGAAAAGCTAGTCTCACCAGCTTTGAACCCCTTGCTTTTGTTTTTCTCTCTCAGATGTTTATTTTCTCCCCTGGAGATAGTCTCTCATTTTCAATTCATGGCATTGCATGGTGCTATATTCTAGTTATACTGTGTGGCAAAGGCATTATAACATGATGCAAACTGATATAACTGTGTACAGTAGTGTTCCCATTTCTGTTTAGAGAGCATTGCTAAGCTGAGACTTGGGTTTTCACCAAATGGCCCAGCTACCAGCATTCCCAAAAAAGAGCTGGACCCATTTGCATTAAGATTTGGCCAGTAAACAGTAATCACTCTGATACCCCCAAACAGAGACCCAAGGTTAGCACTATTAAAAAAAAATAGGACATTTTGAGAATTTGTGGAAGAGTTTAGGAAGCTTAAGTATGTCATAAAGACTTTATGATAAGAAATTTCATGTTTATAATACAGAAAGCTTTTCTATATTTAGAAAAATTAACTATGTACCCTTTTACTGTATCTGGTTTAATGTATCTTTCCTTTCAAAGGGGAAATGTGGGTTCCTTCATTACTTTCAAGAAAATTCAACAGCAGCAATCACTTTTTATAACCATTTCTTCCTCTGACAATGGCCAAAAATCAACACAGTTACTAGTGATGTGACTGTGGTCCATAGAGCTCTGTTTATTATCAAGAAAAGTGCATACGTTTCTTTGACCTAGCTGTGTGGCTTACGGAAACTGATTGCTCGAGATAAATTGTATAGCAAGTCCAAACTCTATGGCATACCATAGACCTATTTTTTTAAAAAGATTAAAAATATGCTACCTTCCCTCATAGCTACTCTTTCACTGGGCAAGGGCCTATTACTAAAAATGTTCAGAAAATAAAACCCCTCACATATAATGCCATCAACAGCATAATACAACTTTCCTAAGTGAAACAACAGATTTTAGATTGATATTTTTTTACTTGACTAATGATATTCTGACAAAAAAAAAACAAAGATTCAAAATCTGCAGTCCAGGTATATAAATTATTACAAATATTTCCCAATTTGAAAGACATATTTATATATGAATAAGTTTATCTTGGTGTATGTGATTTATCTGACTTAGAAGTAAGGACATTCTGTACAAAATTTTTAATTTGAAGAGCTAATCAATTAGCACATTTTATAACAAAATTGTAACCAAACTTCATGAGTTATTTCTAAATAGCCCACAGTTCCTTGTGAAAATGTATTTGATAAATTGATCTTACCGGGATAACACTTTAATCTCACAAGAAAACACCTATAAATTGATTACTTATATATATAATTGTTTAACAAAGATATCATCAAAAACCATTGGGGGGTTGCTGGGTTGCCTGAAGCAGTATCAAGAACTTTTGATCAACACACATGTCACTCAACTTTGTTGTTTTATACTGCCAGATTATTTCAGTAACAGTAATAAAAAAACCTATTTATTGTACCTCTCCTCTCCATATAACTCTAGTTTTGTGGCCATATTTTGTGATAAAGTCTATTTTGTGACAACTATTTACCTTTCATTGTTTGACTCTATTACCTATAAATATGGTTTATATACCACTTGCCTATTTACAATGTACTTATGAAAGATTTATCTCTTTCCTGTCTGCTTCACACCTTAACACATGGAATCACAACACCCACCGGTAAGAACAGGAGGTATTTATATCCAATTTAATTCTCGTGTAAATTGTGGAGAACACCCTTGTTATCTGTCAGGTTTAAGAGCTTGTTAAATGATTTCCAATGTTAGTTCTGATCTTCTTTGCATGATGTAGCAGAGGAAATACAAAGCAAGTTGGGAAAGATAACCTGGAAGAGGCCAAGTACAAAATAGAAATCCTCAACTTTAACAATGACTTGACCTCTCATGATATTTATATTCAGCTTTTCCCTCCCCACAAAAAGTCACTTATTGCCCCTTCCTCTACTCTGGTAAAGGTTATGGGTATACGGTTTGCATTAGATAATTGTCATAAAGAAAATGTCATTCCTTTTCATCATCCTCTATTTTCATAATGCAGGTACTTTTCTTCCCTGTCATCTGCATGCTTGTCTTACATGACCCCAAAGTGTGTGAGCTCTAAACCATGTGCCACTGAGTCTTGCATGTGGTTTTGAGAGCTTGACTTTGCACGAACTTCTTGTTTGTACAGTGTCTACATTTCTCATCTTGTGACAGCGAAGTGAGTAAAAATTCAAAGTGCAAGATAACGGAAAACTCAGCAAATGGAAGATGCTAATTAAGCACAATGTGCAAAACAAAGTTGATTAGAGAAAAGCAACTATGCTGTTAGACTATTGAGAGGTTAAAAAAAAAATCGAAGGGGATTTTTTTTTTACCTCCAAAAACATATTGTTAAAAATTTCTGTGTCTTGTCAGTTGTTTACTAAAGTACAATATAATAATTTAAAGTGATTTAAATTTATGTATTGTGATACATAACAAAACATCAAACTGTTGTATTTTACATCAGCATTCCACCTTATTTCATTTCAATATAACCTTAAATAATAATTTCTCATGAAACATTTCAGGTCATTTTTGCTCTTCAGCCATGTCCAAATGAGGTACAAGATGTCCAGTCACAATGTATTAATTGACTTAATTATTTTTCATAACTCAAAACATTTGATTCCTTGATAGATCATGAAACATAGGAAAGAACCTAAAATGTGTAGCCATATTCCTTATTTCCTGCATTTTTTGTTTTTTGTGTGAAACAGCTATTGCCAGAATGTTCCAGAACCAAAAGCATTCTGGGAACACGTATGGGCTCCCGTTCAGTTGAACCAAATGGTTCAGAGTGCAAAAAGGAAAGGATCAGGATAATGAAACTGGTAAAAGGAAGGTGCTCTTTTGCATCTCAAGTCAGTCTAAGGAATAGTAAAAATTATCTCAAAAATGTCTTTAGACCAATTCTGGAAAACCCTTTCTGTTCTACCCCCCAGAAATTTTACTAATTAAGAAGAAGGAGATACCTTCTCAGAATAGGACAAAAGACATCTCAAGAAATTTCCCCAAATCAATGCTGTCTTCTAACCCAACCTGAAATTTTCTGACATTATCCAACATAGATTTTAGTCACAACATTGCCAAGAGCTGAACATCACCTTCCATGTCAGGGTAGAATCAAGTTTCCTCATATAGTACACAAGAGCCTGGAATAACTGAAGTAACTGAAGAAGGGACCCAATAACCATGGTCTGTACATCATTCCAGATGGAGAGAAATAACCAACTGTGGCAGAAATTACTCTGAAATTTAAAATTATATTGGCATGAAAGGAAATCTTTGTGAACATTTAATGACAAATTATCTTTCTTACCTAAAAATGACCCCTCAATATGCCACAAATCTTGGACAAGTCACTTAATCTCCATGCAAAATAGTTACTACGGGAGATATTTCTGCTTGAGGATGGAGATTCTAACCTATCTGCTGCCCACTCTCGCTCCGTGGGTGAGACCACTGAGTTTCCCTTATGGAACATCTGCTTCATATTATTCAAAAACTGCTGGACTAAAAGAGGGGTACAGTTGTTGATGGTAGAGAACCAAAGGGTACCCTATCAGGTAAAGACGAGGACAGGAATAGAAGCACATACGTGGGAGAGTACAAGGCAGAATTAAGGCAGGTGCTCCAGAAACAACCTTGTTTAATTTATTTTATAAAAAAAAGAACAATTGAGTTAGATTTTGTGTTTTTGTTTTTGTTGCGTGTGTGTTTTTTGTTTTGTTTTTTTGGCCTTGGTATTAATGAAGACAATTTCGAGCAACAGATGTAGAAAGAGTTGGAATAAGACCGAGGAAGAGGGATAAATTCTTCAGCAAGGCAGGTAGATAGGCTTCCGAAAGGCAGGCCTGAGGAAAAGAGAAAGTGTGGAGCCCTTGGCTTTGAGTAGTAAGGAGAAAACTTCATGTCCCTTTCACTACATGGCCCAGTAGCAGAGATGAACTTACTTCCCTAGGAAGGAGGAGGTATAAAGTAGGGGCAGAACGGAAGAAGGAAGACTCTTTAGGGATTTCAATCAGCAGTCAACCTCGAAGGCTAGCAGTGCTGAGAACCACAGGGGGACTCTGAGCGACAAAGCATACATTTATAAAGGGCCCGATGAAGCCAATTAAAATGGAAAAGAATTGCATATTGTTTCTTAGAAATTCTTATTTCTTAGACCTCATGTAATTTCTTACAAGCATTTTAATGAAAATTTGGTTTTATTTCCTTCTATGTCTCTTTTTTCAGCTCCTCTGATATCTATCAGAGTAGCCTCTGCTAACTTTTAACTACTGACCTTAACTAATTCTAACAACTACTGCTATTTACTACCTACTACTAAGTACTAGCTACTAGCACTTACCTTATATCCACATCCACATTCTAACTCTACTACTTCAAGACATTGCTGCCCTTATTCTCTATACTTATTTACATGACTTCATCATGCTAAACCTTCACACTCACTTGTGGACTGTTTTGATACACCATAGTGAAATGTTATGACAAGCTCTTTCAATTATGTTCAATTCAGCAACTCAGGTAAAAACAATCTTTGTGGCATTTAACCTCATCAAAAATATAAAGCAAGATTTATAAAATAGCATGGCTTATTTTCACCACATTGTTTTCAATTCCATGTTACCTTTTTCTTTTTCTTTTTTTTATCCTCAACCGAGGACATTTTCCAGTTTTTGTTCAGGTAGAGTGGGAGGAAGAGAGAGAGAGAGAGAAACACCGATGTGGAAGGGACACATCAAGTGGCTGCCACCCACATGACCAACCAGGGCCGGAGACAAACTGAACCGAGGCACCTAACCTGGGTCTCTCTGGACCGCAGGCCGACGCTCTAACTGCTGAGCCAAAACGGACAGGGTGTGTTACCTTTTCCTAATGGACCTTTATATACTGAAGTTAATTAATAG